CCTTCTCTTCATCCTGAAAGGTGACCTAAAAAATCTACAGCCAACTGCTATATGGGGCTTCATATGCGGAGTTGTAGGCCTAGGAAATTTGAAGAGAGGTTTACATGACACCACCTGCAGTGAGCGGCCTGTTCAATTCCAGAGGGCACCATTCACACAGACCCAGAGTTGTGCAGTACACAACCTGCAGTCATATAGCTGTGGCCTTAAAAACCTCAGCCCTTTCACTGAAAGCATTCTTGTTCTAATTAACAGCAGCTGAATACTGAGAGCAGTGTTTTTCCTCCAGCCTTCTCAAGTAGAAGTGTTTTTCTTTGATGCGCCGCGTATCACTGGATCTGGGTAGATGTCTTCTTTACTCCTTGCTGATTCTAGACCACTATAACCTCTGAGGTTCCCTAAAAAACTCTAGCTCCTTTGAAACTTTTGTCATCAGACTACTACCCTCTTTGCAGTCATTACTGTTACTCATTGAAGAGGTGAGCAAAAATATTCATGTCTTTTTCTTTTTTTTTCTATTTTAATATGTATTTTATTGTGTTTAGGTTTTGGGGTACATGTGAAGAACATGCAAGATTTTTGCATAGGTACATACATGGCAATGTGGTTTGCTGCCTTCCTCCCCATCACCTGTATCTGGCATTTCTCTCCATGTTATCCCTCCCCAACTCCTCACCCACCGCTGTCCCTCCCCTAGTTCCCCACAACAGACCCCAGTGTGTGATGCTCCCCTCCCTGTGTCTATGTGTTCTCATTGTTCAACACCTGCCTATGAGTGAGAACATGCGGTGTTTGATTTTCTGTTCTTGTGTCAGTTTGCTGAGAATGATAGTTTCCAGGTTCTTCCATGTCCCTACAAAGGACACAAACTCATCGTTTTTTATGGCTGCATAGTATTAAATGGTATATATGTGCCACATTTTCCTTGTCCAGTCTACCATCGATGGGCATTTTGGTTGGTTCCAGGTCTTTGCTATTGTAAACAGTGCTGCAATGAACATTCGTGTTCAATGTGTCCTTATAATAGATTGATTTATAATCCTTTGGATATATATCCAGTAATGGGATTGCTGGGTCAAATGGAATTTCTATTTCTAGGTCCTTGAGGAATCACTGTCTTCCACAATGGTTGAACTAATTTACACTCCCACCAATAGTGTAAAAGTGTTCCTATTTCTCTACATCCTTTCCAGCATCTGTTGTCTCCAGATTTTTTAATGATCCCCTTTCTAACTAGCATGAGATGGTATCTCTTCACTACTAGTTCTGGAATTGTTTTTTAAGTTGTTTAAAACTGTCTGAAAGATAAGAACGATTTTCATTTTAACATTACCATAGTAACATTCACATTTCCCCAGTCTTTTTCTAACATCTTTCTACAGTAACAGATCACATTTCTCCAATTATTTTCTAAGTATATTTTTACAGTTGGTTTGTTTGTATCAGGAAATAAAGTCCCACATTGCACTTAGTTAATTTGTCTCTTAAGTCTTTTGAAATCTGAAACAACTTACTATTTATTTACTTATGATTTATTTGTTAAAGAAACCAGATTATTCTGTTGAATTTCCCACATTCTATATTTGACTGATTCCATCTTTGTGATGTGATTACATTAATTAATTAATTTATTTTTATTTACTTATTTATGTATTTATTTTTTCAAGATATGGTCTCACTCTATCACCCGGGCTGGAGTGAGTGGCACAATCACGGCTCACAGCAGCCTTGACTTCCCAAGCATAAACAATCCTCCCACTTCAGCCTCCCTAGTAGCTGGGACCACAGGCATCTGCCACCTCACCTAGCTATTTTGTTTTTGTTTTTTGTAAAGACAGGGTCTCACCTTTTTGCCTAGGCTGGTTTTGAACTCTGCCCACCTCAGCCACTCAAAATGCTGGGAATAAAGGCATAAGCCACCACTCTTGGCCTTGATTACAATTAATACGTTCATTTATCCTGCAGTTTCCTGTAGACTGGTTATTAGGTTTAAAGCCTTAGGTGATGCTGTGTGCTTCCTGTTGCATTGCATCAGGAGGCGCATATGTCTGCTTGTCTCTCTTTTACTGATGTTAACATTTGATCAGTGTGTTTGGGTATTAATAAACCTGATTCATCTATCATATATTTCCCCACTGGGCTTTTAACCTTAACGTTTTTAGCTGCCATTGATAATAGTCGTCTAGATCTATTTTTCATTGGGGAATTGTGAAGTGGTAACATTGTAATTCTATCATTCCTTCCACATTTATTAGCTAGAATTCTTCTATAAAAGACTTTGTTTTCCTCCTCCACCACTGGGTTACCTTTTGGGGAATGGTATCAAATGCTAAATTGTTTTCCTATTTGCCAGTTTTCAAGTAATAAGCTGGTTTCCTAGCAAGTCCAATAAGTTTCCTTTTTTGTTATCATTGATGTTATCATTATAAACTTGTGGATTTTAATTTTTTCTTTTTGAGATGGAGTTTCGCTCTGTTGCCCAGGCTGGAATGCAGTTGCACTATCTCCGCTCACTGCAACTTCCGCCTCCCAGGTTCAAGTGATACTCCTGCCTCAGCCTCCTGAGTAGCTGGGACTACAGGCATGCGCCACCATGCCTGGGTAATTTTTTTGTATTTTTAGTAGAGACAGGGTTTCACCATGTTGGCCAGGCTGGTCTTGATCTCCTTATCTCATGATCCACCTGCCTCAGCCTCCCAAAGTGCTGGGATTACAGGCGTGCGCCACCACACCCTTCCAATTTTAACTTTATGTGTTTCTATCCATCGTGGTTATTCTCTCTTTAATGCTCAGATTGTTCCATCTTTGGCCAATTGGTACCTATATTCTTTTGACTGATTTCAGTAGCTTCCTTGCTTTCTGGTGTGACAAGATGTTTCAGGCTTCTTTTGTACATCTAGACTAAAATCAACCATTTTTCCATGAAGGCCTTGTTCCTTTTGGAGGGAAATGTTATTTACAGACACAATCAGATCTCTAAATAACATGTGTTCATTGCTATTGATTTGATCATTACTTCTAGACAAAATTTATTTTTCTTTTTTCTTTTTACTTGAGTCTGTACTGGAAAGAAATGTTTTTGTTTTTGACAGATAAAAATACATCACAAGTTTATACTGAGGTTTTTAATTTAAATTCAAGATTATAGAGTTTTACTTCTTGGTTTTTTAAGAGCAACTCTTCTGACCAGAAAAATTTGGTTCCTAAAAACATTATATCCCAAAATATGGTTTTAAAATAACAATATTAATATTATTCTAATAATGTTAGTGAATACTGTTTAAGATTTCTTGTTTTTTTAAAAAAGTGAGCAAATCTATATATTTTTATATTTTATCTTTTTTAAGATAAAAAGTATCATACTATACACACTGTTCTGCATCTTGCATTTTTTTACTGTACTGTATCTCATGGACATCTATAGATCTTCCTTATTTCTTTTTATAGCTGTATAATATTCCCCTGTTTGACTATATCATAGTTTATACAACCTGTCTTTTATCAATAGACATTTGGGCTATTTCCAGTTTTTTGGTATTAGTAATAGTGCTATAGTGATAGTCTGTGCATATGTTATTTTATAGTTTTGCTTGTTTATCTTTGGGATGGAACTCTAGAAATGAGATTGCTGGGTCAGTATTTTGGTGGAGATGGGAGTTGGGGAGCAGATAGTAAAAAAAGTAACATACTTGTTTATTCTGTTTGGGCTGCTATAACAAAATACCATAATCTAGGTAGCTTGTAAACAACAGAAATTTATTTCTCATAATTTTGGAAGCTGGGAGTCCAAGATCAAGGTGCCAGCAGATTTAGTGTCTGGCGAGGGCCCACTTTCTAATTCATATGGTGCCTTCTTGCTGTGTCCACGCTTGGCGAAATGGGCAAGGCAGCTCTCTGGGACCTCTTTTATAAGAACACTAATCCCATTCATCAGCGCCCACAACCTTTCAAAGGCTCCACCTGCTAATAATGTCATATTGGTGATTAGATTTGAATTTTGAAGACACAAACATTTAGATCATGGCAGTGCCTGGTAGGCGTACTTCTTTGAAGTACTTATAAGAAGTTTGATTTACCTTCCTATTTTTCTTTCCATACCCTTTCATTGCTCTTTAGTATTGTCACATTATATTTAGAAATATGGTAACACTTTGAGGAGGACTTAAAGGAGTTTTGTAGGTATAATTAGATTTTTTCCTCTATTCTTCACCTCTTACTATACTCCCATAATACCTGTTCTAGTATAGACCAGAGATTAGGTAAATTTAACTTGCTCAACATTTTTCTTAATTTCTTCCACTTTGTTCATCAACTTCAAGATTTTTGGCCAATACTGCGAAATTTTAAAATCCTTGCAAAACAGTCTGTTACAAACTTTTATGATAAATCGGACTATCATAAACAAATCTCTCTTTGTTACTTGCTGCTTGACTTTTTATATACAATCTCCAGGTTTTTGCATACGGAAATACCTTTTCCCACTCCATGCAGCTTGGCTTCTTCATTATGCAATTGGTTTGTTTACCAATACCTCCTACCCCACTTTTGATTTTTAAAGCAATTATGTCTCTTCTTTTAGAATGTATATTTTAAAGTAAAATCTAACCCCAAAAGAGATATTCTTACCGTTTTGGGCAGAAATCACATAGAATCTTTCCAACTTCAATATGCCACCCTCCTTTGACTATATCTCAGTGTTGGAGTATTTTTCATATCACTTCATTACTACGTCATTCATTTTGGCTTGCAAGTTAGAAATCTCTGTAGGTTTTTTTCCTACTTATTTCTGAGAGATTTTCTGTATCTATAATTTGTTAGTTGGTTTTTAAAAATTAGGTAGACTGTCTTACACCTAGTTTCTATTAAATTCTTTTTTTATATGATTAGGTAATCAATAGTGCATTGAATTTTTTTGTGTTTCAAAATCTTGCTAACTTATCTAAATAAAATTGGGTTGTGTTTTAATGATGTTTGTTGGTATTTTATTTTTCCTTGTTTAGGTTCGTAACGTTCTTAATGATGCAGTGGATTTACTGGAATTCCGTGATAGAGTCATTAAAGCATCTTTGAACTATGCACATTTAGTGGTTTCAACATCTCTTCAATGTTATGTGTTCTCGTAAGCATCTTGCATTTCTTAAAAATTCAGAGTTTTGTCTGTGCTGAGGAGTTTATTTTGAGGATTTCACATCAGCATGGTTTGGTTTAAAGTTAACTTCCTCAAAACCTCAGCTATCCTGAACTACCTCAAACCAGGAAGTGAGAGAAAGTGAACTTATAGCAGCAAAAATAGATCTAACAAGGTTTGTACATCAACAGCTAATAGTCAGGTGAGGTGTAATGGCTTATGCTTGTAATTTCAGCACTTTGGAAGACCAAAGCAGGAGGATTGTTTGAGGACATGAGCTTGAGACCAGCATAAGTAACATAGTGAGACTCCATCTCTACAAAAATTTTTTAAAATTACCTGGGCATGTTGGTGCGCACCTATGATCCTAGCTTCTCAGAAGGCTGGGATTGGAGAATTGCTTGAGCCCAGGAGACAGAGGGTGCAGTGAGCTGTGATCCTACCACTACACTCCAGGCTGGAGACCCTGTCTCAAATAATAAATAATGGCTTTATTTAACAGTTGGCTTACAAAATTCCTGAAAATTTAATAACTAGTACAAGCTGGCTCTAGCGTACTACCAGTTGATTCTTCAACTATCCAGAAAACTCAAGTAACCATTAAGATACTTTCAAGAGTTATACATAGTTAAGGATTTTTAAAAGTTTTATCCTTGTATTTATAACATTATGTGGTTATAGTTTAGTCATTGAATATAAAATTGAGGATGGAGACTATACGTGTCTCATTTACCACTGTATGCCCAGCACCTAGCACAGTGCCCATGTTGTGGGTACTTAATGAATACTTCTGAATGAACAAATGAATTAAAATATGTCAAGTACTTTGTCATTTTAGTATCCTAAAGTCTAGTAGTACACAACACAAAGGTATTTAGTTTAATTAACAACCGCTACAACTATATATTTAAAAATTCCCACTTACTATGTGTAAACCTGCTACTAATCAGAATCTACAATTTGGGACAAATAGCCAAGTCTGGAGTGATGAAATAGAAGAAACAGAGGTGAATGGATGAAGAAATAAGGAACTTAATTTTATATGAGGTTTTTTTTTCTCCCCCTTACATGAGCGGGAAAGAGGAACAGTAAGAATTTGGGAAAATTCAAAAAAGATACCAAGTTAAGCAGCTGAGATATGGGGAAGGGATTATAGAATGTGAGATCACCCACTCACTTTAATGCAGATAGGTGTTTGAATAATTAATTTTCATGGGGCAGGGGAGAACAGAAATCTCTTCAGTTTAGTGTTTATTTGTTTGAAGAAAGGCCATACTCTTAACTTATCTATAATAACTTCCCTTTTATTCTACTAGTTATGTGGCAAGGACAAAATGTTTGAATCTATAGGATTAATATCATTAGGTGTTATGTGTATTAGAGAAGCTGCCTTTAAAAATACCCAGATTTTAGTAGCTGTTAATTTTTTTTTTTTTGGTCACTCTGCTTTTTCCTTACCAGTTAATATGTGGCAAATGTAAAACTGCTTTTCTTCTTTTGTGATTGAACCTTGCCTCCCTTCTTTGATTGTCAAGACATTTATTAAGGTACAAAATATTTATTAGGATGCAGCAGTGGTAATAAAATACCAGGATGTCGTAGTGGGAATGAATCACCACCAAAACATATTTCATAACATTTTAAAAACCTAGCATTTTAGATAATAATGATTATCATTTATTGAACAATTGTTTTACTGTCTTTTATGTTTACTATTATTCTCGTTTGAAAGCTGAAGCTAAAGGACATAAAAATGATTAGGTAACTTGCCTTAAATCAGATTATTGACTTTGTTACTAAAGGAAAGCAGGAATTTGAATCCAAGTTCTTAATAATTGTTGCCTCTTTTTCAGTAATAAAAATATAATTCTAAAAACAGACATGCAAGTACTTTACTGGTTTATATGAAAAGAAGTTCCAGAAAAAGAAAACAATATATAAGCATTCTACATTAAATTTTCATTCGATTTTTCAGATAATTATATTGAAAATATTCTTGTTCTATTCAGCATTTATAGCTTAGGGAATTTATATTTTCATGGCATTTATATATCTCCATTGTCAGAAATCTCAGATTTTTTTCTGAAGGGATATTAAAAAAAAAACTCACATAATCACTACTTAACAACTCTCTTGACAAAGAATGAAGGTTAATTAATAAAGTATGCTGTGATATTTTTTCTAAAGTACAAAAGCATATCTTTATCATATCTGTGAACCCCAAACTAATTAATAATCAGTAATTAGTAATCACTAATTATTAGCAGTAATTTATTTGTTATTTTGCTTTTTGCATGTATTTACTTACTGAAATGATTATCAGATTCTTTCCATTAGCCAAGATCAGTTACCTACCAGTTTGCTTACTCACTGCATTCTTCCCCTTCTCTCCTCAATCATCTGGATTTGAACATGAGATTTAATCTGATTTAGAGAATTGGTTTTATGAAAATTACTGAGAGAAATTCAGAATATATAGAAGTAATAAAACTTATTTTAAACTATGGAACAACTTTTATTATTTGAGGATAGGTTTTCCTGTTTGTAAATGTTCCCTTTACCCACCCCGATCTTTGATTCATGTTACCCTGTAAAAGCAAAATGATTTATTTGTTCATTTATTCATCCATTCATTCAATAAGCATGTTCATGGCTTACATTTATATAGTATTTTAGAGTTTGCAGAATGCTTCAAAGAAATCTTTCTGTTTCAATCCAACAGTAACTTTGGGAAACCTGTAGGAAATAAAATCATGTTCATCATATTACTATTATTACAGTTTCTGTTTGTTTGGTACCTGCTTTATATTAGGTAGTTTGCCAGACACTATGTAAGTCCTGGCCCATTATCCCCATTTTACAAATAAAAAACTAATGCTTAGCAGGTTAAGCTTGTTAAGATCAAGTGGCTGACAGGTGGTGAAACCATATTTCTAATCCAGATCTGTCTAACAAAAAGCTATCATCTCTTCATTATGCCATGCTGCTACTGTTTTTCAAATGAGAATCATGAGATGACTTGCCCAGACTCAGAGCCAACAAATGGCAGAACTCAGACTTATACTTAGAATTCCTCAATTCACATGTTGTAATACTACAGTGAGCATTTATTGGATGCCTATTATGTGCTAGTTCTTGGGGATACAGAGTCTCTGCTTTTTAGTCAGGGATATGGACATATAGGTGAATAATTTCAGAACAATGCACCAAGTGCTATAATAGAAGTATGTATATAATCGCTATGAAACTGAAGTCACTTTATTTAAAGTGATTACCTATCTACTTATTTTAAAGTATTTGGTTTTTTAAAGGTTAATAAATATCCATTTTATTTGTCTTTTAGCACAAAGAACTGGAATACACCAATTATATTTGATCTCAAAGAAGGAACTGTTAGTTTAATTCTACAGGCAGAAAGGTAATTTATTATGTTTAACTACTGGATTTGGGTTTAAAATATCTCAAAAAGCACTAAAGCACTCTTTAGTAAAAACATCTAATTTAAAGAATGGTGTGCTAGTCATTTAGAACTAATCTGTTTCTGTTATACATTTTAGAAGAAAAAAAGAATAAGCTCTTTAAATCAGTGATTCTGAAACATTTTAATCTCTGAATTTCTTAACATTCTTAGAAAATTATTGAGGGTTATATATGTGTTATATATATCAACAATTATGATATTAGAAATTAAAACAGAAATTTTAAAGCTATTTATTTTAAATGATGAGAATAAGCTCATTACAGGTAAACATCAGAGTAATGACATGAGAGAATGAAAGCAACACAGGCAAATAACTATTAAAGAGTTTTTACCTCATAGTCCCCCTATTTTCCATTCTGTTCTGTTCTGCTTTGTTTTAAATATTGGTTGAAACTCTGGTTTTGTGGGCCTTCTGGGTTGTGACTTGAAAGTTTGAAAACTAGTTGTTTCTACTTAGACATTCAGCATATGCAGGACTAAGAAATGTTAGGCAATTAACTAAGTAAATTAGGAATAGCTATTACTCAAGAACCTACACTTTTCCATGAAAACTGTCAGTCTCTTGAATACAGTGATATTCTACTGAATCAGAAGAGGACTTAGACAGCTACAACCCAATAAAACTTGTTAAAAAATTATGAAAATATAATCGACAGTTCCCTAAAATATCTACCCATAAAACATTTGCGCTAAAACCATGTACTTTATTCCTCATCCCTTTACTTATCATGTAGGCAGCTCTTAAAAGTGTTTATTAGCAGATTTTCTAGCCCACAGCTTTTTATAAATAGAAAACCAGAAGAATGGTACTGGTGGGCTGTTAGAGGCTGGCGCAATGACAGGAAGAAAAGTGACTGCCTGGCAAGGGAATATGGAAAAACCAAAAGCACAGAACTGTGTCCCTGAGTAATGTAATGATTCTGAGCACTAACAGATTTTGATCAGTATCAAAGTTGTCAGTTAAATCGTTACTGAAAAGTGTGGTCACCATATTGATGACCTTGAGTGCCCAAGAAAATATTATATCAACTTTTATGTTATTTATTTAATGAAATTTAAATATATGAATTATTTAGTTATACCATAAATTTTTTTAAGTCAATCTTTTTTGTCATTTGAAAGGTAAGATGTCAGCTATCTAAAAGACCATATTTCTGAAATGCTTTTTACTCTATTCCAAATAAATTTATTTATACATTATTTATAAATGTATTTACTGAATATGCTCTTAATAAAACATATATTAATGGCATAAATAGCCAAAAAATATAGTTACTACCTATAGAATATAGTTACTACCTATCATTGGTCTTATGTATACACTTAGAGTTGCTTGCCCCTTGAAACAGGGTGTTTACTCACAAGTAGGTTAAAAGCTATAGTGTCTTGTTTGGAAAAGAAAATGCTTTTAGTACTGAAACAGAGGAATACGTACTAATATATGTCACTTTGTCAAGTTTAGCAAATGTAGTTTTCATAAGCCATTATGTATGACCAGACACCAGTGTGTAAGGGCCAAACCCTTCAATTAAATAAACTACCTACCAATCCTCAAGTATTAATTTAATTGAAGTGTATATAATTGGTGTTCATTAGATACTAATTTTTCCATTGGTTTTGGTGTTTATTTCCCTTTTGTTTCCATAGCAAAAAAAGAATAATTAGCAGTTCCTTAATCAAGAACCAGTTCTGAATCAAGGATATTAAAACATTAAACATAAGATTTTGAAAAGTAATAATGTCTTCAGCATTAAGGAAGCAGGCATACCAATATAGCCATAGTATGTGTGTAAATCAGTACAGCTTTTCAAAGGGCAGTATAACAATATATATTTTAAAATTCTGAATGTATGCTCTTTAATCTAGTAATGCACTCCTAGAAGCTGTACTAAGGAAAATAAGTAGGGAAGATATATGGATAATGTATATATACTATAGATATTCTTTAAAACAGTGAATAGTTTGAAACAGATGTATGTCAGGAATGAGTGAGTTAGTAAAGTTATGGAAGTTCATACTTTGGCATAGTTATCTCTGTGGAGGTAGGATCTCAAGAGGTCTTGTTTTCTCTGTATTGCTTGAATTATTTTGCACAATATTCATAAATTTTCAAAGGAAAAATATAACAGCCATAAAATACTTATGTTTTGAGTTAATAAAAAATTAACTACAGAGCCCTATGCCTTAAATATAGCTGTCAACACAGCAAGTGACTCTGACCCTGCAGCAAAAATACAGGAATTTTTAGATGTGAATACATACTGATGGTCACCACATGATTTTAAAGTCACAACTGCCTTATTTTTAATAAATGTTTGCCCACATGGTAATTTTTTTAGTCATTTTCACTGCTTTAGACTTTAACCTGTATTGAATCTTTAATTATTTGTAGCATAATCTTTAGTTATAAAATACATATTAAAACTGTTTCATGAAACAAATAGCACCTGGCATTAAAATCACTGAATTATAAATTATAAGATTTTTTGATTGCCTTTGTATAGAATCTTCTTTAGGAAAGGAAATGAATTGTGGGTATAAGTCAGAATTTTAGTGTATAGGGTGGTGATTATGGACATTTTCATTTTTCTTCTCCTACGTCATCATAAAACAAAAACACAGAAAACAAACCAAAACAACCAATGCTGGCTGGCTTTCAGTCTTTTTTTTTTTTTTTTTTTTTTTTGAGACGGAGTTTCGCTCTTGTTACCCAGGTTGGAGTGCAATGGCACGATCTCGGCTCACCGCAACCTCCGCCTCCTGGGTTCAAGCAATTCTCCTGCCTCAGCCTCCTGAGTAGCTGGGATTACAGGCACGTGCCACCATGCCCAGCTAATTTTTTTGTATCTTTAGTAGAGACGGGGTTTCACCATGTTGACCAGGATGGTCTCGATCTCTCGACCTTGTGATCCACCCGCCTCGGCCTCCCAAAGTGCTGGGATTACAGGCTTGAGCCACCGTGCCCGGCCCTGGCTTTCAGTCTTTAAAATGTTTTATTCCTTACATATCTACACATTTATATTAGTTGTAAGATTTAGATTTTTTCCCAAGGATAAACTATTCTGTAATATAAAAATGAAAATGTAGTCTACCCATATTTGAGAATCTATTTCTATTCTTTATTTTTTAGACATTTTCTTCTTGTAGATGGTAGTAGTATCTATTTATATTCATATGAAGGGCGCTTTATTTCATCTCCAAAATTTCCTGGGATGAGAACAGATATTCTGAATGCACAGACTGTATCTTTGAGTAATGATACCATAGCAATAAGAGACAAAGCTGATGAAAAAAGTAAGTACGTTTTTATAATTTTTCCTGTCAAATATGAAATTTGTTAACATTATAAATTTTTCATAACTTACATTTTCTTATCTACCAATTCATTAACTTTATATCAAAAGAATTATGAGCTTTCTAATTTGTTTTCAAAACATGAGTTAATTAAGCAACTAAAATTGTCATATTTTATCCAGTTAATAGAACAAATAGATATCATCACAACATCGAACATCAGTGATAAGGAAAACATATATATTCAGTCTGTTGGTAGAGAATTTGAACTCAATGTTGTGGTCCTAAAAATGTATATTAATGTTTAAGTTTTTGATCTTTTTATCCCAAATGTTCCAGTTTTCTTCATTTGGTAACATAGTAAATACTGCACTTCATTGAACTATTTAGTTTGTTTTTATTTTTAAATTAATATTTTAAAGTTAAGTGAAAGAAAGATATGAATAACTTAAATTTTCTTTTTAAAAATCTAGGCCACATTAATACTTATAAATAAATATAAGTATGTCAAGTGTTTTGGATTACATAGCACAATGAAACCATTTTATTAGGGCATATCTATATCACAGATTCACTCATCTAGTAAGTATTATTGAGTGCTTACTATGTGCCAACTACTTTTCTAGAAGTTGAGGATACAATGGTGAACAAAATTAGCAAATAAAAATTAAAATTTAATAAATATTTAATAAATTGTCACATAATGATACAAGCTATGAAGAAAACTAGTGCAGGGTGAGAGAATAAAGGGTTGTGAAGGTGAGGCAGGGAAATGACAGACAATCAAGTACAAGGATTCTGAGGTGGGAGCAACCAGCTGTTAAAGGAATTGCCAGAAGGCCATGTGACTGGGTCAAATCAGCTAGCTAGAGAGTGGGAGGAGAGGACAACGTAGAGATAGGCAGGAACCAGATCATGTAAAGACTTGGCCATGGTAAAGATGTGGGCATGCAGGAAAGAGAGGAGGCAAGCATATTATCCTAGGTTTTTGCCCTGAGTAAATGAGATAGAAGACAGGGAAAGAGGTCATTTGGAGTGGGCTGGTCTGCAAACCAAGAGTTGATTTTGGTCCTGGTATGTTTAAATCTTTCTTAGACAGCCAAGCAGGGATGAGAGTGAACAACAGGATAAACCAGCCCAAGGCTTGGGAGAGAGGTTGGGACTAGAGATATGAATTTGATGGTCATTGGTATACTACTAGTGCTTAAAGCTATAACACTGAATGAAATCACCTGGGAAATAAGTGTATACAGAGAAGAGGACTAAACACAGCACATCAGTACTTAGGGATGAATAAAAGGAAGAGAAGCCAGTGAGGTAAGAGGAAAGTTAAGAGTGAGTGATCCCAAAAACCTAGTGAAAAATATTGTATATTAAATAATTGTTTCTCTCTATTAAAATATATCACGAAATATTGTATATTACTGTTACCAAAAAATCTTACTTGAATGTTAATTTTATTAGTTCATACCACAGAAGACCTAATTCATAAACTAGGAACTTTCCTAATTTTTAATTTTCAGTACTTCAGATAATAGCACCTCTTATACTGGTAGGAAATATAACTCTCCTAAATAGAGCTTTTCTATCTCTTCATGCCTTAGGCCTTCTCTGAGTGAAGACATTTGGTAATTTTTTAAAAAGGACTTTCTTTCTGGCTAAAAATGAGGAAAAGAGAATGGAGTAAAATAGTATCCAGATAGCAGACAGAATTAAGATAGCTATATAATTGTAAAAATAATTGTGTTTGGAAGACAGATTTTTGTTTTCAATAAACTTAAGATTGAAAGTCCCTGTGATCACTATGAGCTGTCTGTGCTCTCCTTATTCAATACCATGTATTTTAGATAAAAGCTTTAATAAAGTACAGGCATGCCCTGCTAACAACATTTCAGTCAACAACAGACTGCATATACCATAAGATTATAATGGAGCTAAAAATTTCCTGTCAGCTAGTAATGTCAAAGCCATTGTGATGTCATAGTGCATTACCTTTTTCTATGTTTAGTGAATAGTAAGTTATACTGTCTAGGTTTATATAAGTACACTCTATGATGCTCACACAATGATAAATTGCCTAACAGTGCATTTCTCAGAACATATCCCTATCATTAAGCAAGGCATGACAGTATGTGTGATCTCAACTGAATATACCCTATTCTGAAATTTTCTGTGGTTAATTCACATCTGGAACATATTTTGTTATTCTTTAATCCATTGATAATTGGTAGAATTCTAAAACTATAAAAAATTATTAACATTTACAGAAATATGAATTTATAAGCCAATAATATCTATTTTACTTCTGTAAGTTTAGATTGTTAAACAAGATAATTATGTAATTCTGTTTTGCTGTAAATATAAACTCAAAATACTAAAATAAAATTATTGTAGAACTTAAATGAAAGGGAAAATATTTTTGTATGTTCCTTTTTTTAAAAAAATGGTATTTATTGGTGGCTAAATAGTGGTAAGTGCTAACAATAGAAAATACAATTGAAGTACCCAACATATTTAACCCTTAGAAGGGTGCCATCTGTATGTGACATTTTTATTCTTGCATCAAGTGTAGTATTCTATATTATAACAGGTGCTCCACAAATAGATCTTGGGTGGGTTTGAGTACCCCTTTTGGTGATTAAGTACTAGAGCTGCTGTTTTTGCCTTCCTTCTCCCTATTCACTTTGCACAGATATGCTATATTAGTGTGGGTGATTATTTGAAAGAAATGTCTAGAAGTTAGGGGATAGTTATTCATATTTAGAAGCAACTCTTTCAACTCACAGCTCCTTTGTTGTTCATTCTGCCGGTTTCTATTACATGTTAACACTGAAAAACAGGACCAACCTCCCATAGATCAGGTGCACTTACAGTTGTGGAAAAAGTAGATGAGTTCATCTGCATATCCCTAGCTTTTTATATATATATAGTCAGAAAAAGGATGGAAGGCTGCTATCATTTAAAAAGTTTATTAGTTTGCATAGCTATGAAAATAATATGAATTAGCCAAACCCAAAACATTTTTAAAATGAAAGCCAAAAATTTTAAATTTTTGTTTCCCTGCTTAATTAAAAATTCTAGGCCAGGCGCGGTGGCTCAAGCCTGTAATCCCAGCACTTTGGGAGGCCAAGGTGGGCGGATCACAAGGTCAAGAGATCGAGACCATCCTGGCCAACGTGGTGAAACCCCGTCTCTACTAAAAATACAAAAATTAGCTGGGCGTGGTGGCATACGCCTGCAGTCCCAGCTACTCGGGAGGCTGAGGCAGAAGAATTGTTTGAACCCAGGAGGTGGAGGTTGCAGTGGGCCAAGACTGTGCCACTGCAATCCAGCCTAGCACCTGGCGACAGAGTGAGACTCTGTCTCAAAAAACAAAAAAACAAAAACAAAATTCTATTATAGTATTTTTATTTTTCATAATTGGCAACTTTAGAAGATAACTAAACGTTACAACATGACTTTGTGAATATAGCCAATGACCTCCAACTTAGCATCCTATGATTTACTAGAAGCTAATAATGTATTAGTACGATCCTCTGGAATTAAATTTCATGTTATACACATTGTAGCATTTTTATAATCTGTATATGTTGTCCAGTTTTTTTGGCTGAGTACTCAATGCCACTTCTGTCTTATGCCATTTCTATCTTTTCATTTCTTGTAATCCTATTCATATGCTGTCATATAAAATTACTCTATTTGAGATTAATCTTGGGTTGGAGTAATTTGAGAATTACTTAAAGAGAACCATCAAAATAATCTTTTTGTTTTTTTCTTTCCCAACAATCTTTTCAAAAGCATAAACAACAGCTACCAATACTACTGTTATGATTGAGACTAAGAGAAGCCTTGGTGATACAGAGAAAGGGGCAGAGGCAGCATTTGTTCCAGGCTTCTTCAATAGAATATCTCCTGTAATTTTTACAGCTTTACCTACTGCACAACATCAGAGAAAGGTTGAGGTTGGAAATAGAGAACTATGAATTATCATTATTTAAATAGTGATTGATGTCATAGAAGTTAATGATACTGGGGTAAGTATTTATAGTGAAAAGTCTGCAAAGAACAAAACCTTAAGATCAAAGGTTTAAGATCCTTAAGATCCTTATCTTAAGGTTATCTCCTTAAGATAAGGAGAAGCTAGGAAAGGAGAGTGAGGAATGATCCAAAATAGAAGAGAATTGGGAGAAAACAATGTTATGTGTAGCCCACATAAGCATTTCAAGACAGAGAGGATAGTCAGAAGCATCAGTGCTCCTGGGAGGTCAAGACTAAAAATAGACTCCTAGAGTGAGGACTAAAAATAGTCTTTGATTTGGCAACATGTAGGTCATCAGTGTAGTGAGGTTGAATAGCAAATTGTCATAGATTGAAGAATGGGGATTGAAGAATGGGTAGGAGTTGTAAAAACCAGAATAACTGTTGTTTCAGGAAGTTTAGAGTTAAAAAAAGGCAAATAATTGTAATTGTGATTTTTTTTTTTTTAAAGTGAGGGTAATATCAGAATCGTTTGTATGCTGAGAATGAACCCGGGTAAAGGTGCAGGAGAAAGTGGGGATTGTTGATAGAATAGTATTTCGGAGAAAGCCAGGGAGATAGAATAACAGATAGAGTAACAATATATAGGTAAAGAATGTAGTAGGGATGGAGAAGTATGGGCAATAGATACTCCTTTGCCTGAAATTAGAATGTGTGTGGTGAGGACCTGAACTATTATAAGTAAGGTTGGAGATAAATCTGAGGGAAATTGAGCTGTTACATCAAAAGTTACCAAAAGTTTACTTTTATATAGTGACATTTTTTTAATACATCATCTTAATGAATATTTCATATCTATTTAGTGGCTTCTGGGGAGTTTTTTTTAGGATTGAATTTTATTTTTATTTGATTTTGATAGGAATACTTAACATGAGTATAGGAATACTTAACATGAGATCTACCTTTTTAACAGATTTTTCAGGGTACACTTCAATATTGTTAACAGTGAACAATACAACATA